GATTAAAGGAGGCAGGAAGACAACGTGCTTACTGTAGATCTGTAATATACGTCAGCCCTGCTGTCGGGTTGTTGAAATCACCAAGTGTTGTTCATCCTCCGGCCTGAAGGCCCTTTCTCTTGCGTCAATTCTTTTCTGGATTTGCGTTCTATGCTGCACAATAAGCAATACTCGTCTCCGTCTGTCAGGGAGACTCGTCTTAATTTGCTCCACGAGGGTTGAAGTAAACGGGACGACGGACCGGCTCTGGGCTTTTTGTTTTTAAATCTTTTTTTTTCTATTAAAAACCAAAAAGTGTCAGGTTTCCTTTCTTTTTTGTTGTTTTGTTTCGAGGCCCTGGAGGTTTTTGGTGGAGAGTGGGAACAGTCAGTGTATGCCTGCCCCACATGATGGCCTGCTGACCATGGCCTGAGACGTTGGAGGAACTGTTGAGGAAGGAAGTCATCTGCCCCATCCTGCCTGCACGTGTGTCTCAGATCCCATCCAAGCTGCCCTGCAAGCACAACTTACTGCCGGGCTGCATCAGCGGAGGCCTGGCCAAGAGACCTCCCCCTGGCCGCCGCTGCCCGGAGTGCAATCAGCGCGCGTACAGCGGCAGAAGCCAGCCTGGAGAAGAACGCACAAATGTCCGAACAATAGTGGAGAAGTACAACGCCCTGAGCGTGGAAGGGAAGCCCACCCGCCGCCCGCTCAAGTGCTCCTGTGCCGCCGAGGCCCGCCGCTCCCCGCGGTCAAAGTCTGCCTGCGCTGCAACGCCCCGTGCTGCCAGTCCCACGTCCAGACGCACCTGCAGCAGCCGTGCTCGGCGCTCGGTCACCTGTTGGTGGAGGCCGAGGCGGTGAAGGCCTGGACCTGCCTGCAGCACGACGAGTACCGGCTGTACCACTGCGAGGCCGAGCAGACGGCGGTGTGTCAGTACTGCTGCTTCGCCCGCTGTCACCCCAGCCACGGCCACGCTGTCACCGACGTGGAGCTGCGACGCAACGACATCAGAGTAAGGAGAATCGTAGATACGCAAACGTTAAACTAACCTGTTTGTTCTTCTCCTCAGGGCGAAGTCACAGAAACAAAATCACAGCCGCGAGTTCGACCTCATCGCCGGGGGAGTCGGCGTCGCGATCTCGCAAGTAGAGCTGAGACGATGAGTCGATCAACAGAAGGTCAAACTGTATTTAGATAATCGATTTAATGGTTTAAACAGCTTTAGGTTTTGGACTGCTGCTCCTCGCCTGGAGCTCTGGGAAGCTGATGAGAAAGTAAATAGATTAATAGAAAATTAATAGTTATTAGCCCGTCTGTGCAGCTTTAATAACAGCAGCACACAAACCAGCGGAGGTCATTTTTCATCCACTTTGTTCTCCTCAAGCAAACATCAGCAGAACAAAGAGCCACGTTTTACTAAAAGTCCATCAAGCACTCGATCCTTCACGTATTTATCGAATCACTTCACCCAATCAACCAAATGTCCCTCATTTTTAACAAACCGTCTGCTCCCGCGTGAGAGTCCGGTGCAGTTTTCAGTCGCGATCCACTTCAGCCTCCTTTCTCATCTGTAGGAATGACAAACAATGCAGCGGAGGGTGGAACAATGAGGGGCCCTCGGAGGGCCTTATCTCCCCAGCACAGGTGCATCCTCGCTCAGGGATCGCCAGTTGTGAGGAGGAGGGGGGGAGGAGGGTCGGTGGGTGGGAGTGGAGACGAGGGGAAGGGGGATTATAGTGATTTGTCACTGATTCTGTGGTCTGCTTCGGTTTTCTTTTATTAACCTCTTCCCTTCCGGGGGTCGGGGTGGTTTTCCTCCCATGTTTTCTTGTTTTTTTTTAAATCGCGGTTTAGTCTTTTTAAAGGGGTTAGGTTTAGTCACCAAGTCTCCGCTGCTGACTGACTCATTTAACTCACCCTACGCTCTGTTTTAGGTGTCAACCGTGTCATGCTCGGGTGTGTTTCCTGTTGGTAATGCTATGACTCAGCTTCATGTATAGTTAATCGGTTGCCTGAGGCCCCCGGAGAGGCCGTCGGGCGGGACCTGGTCTGAATTTAAAAGCTGTATTAGCAAAATCCTTCACATTTACAAGCTTTTCCTACATTATCCATAATCACGCCGGGTGATAAGAACCAGATTAATTCTGTTTTTGACCCAGATATCAATATTTATCTGTAGAAATATGATCAAATATCAGCCAATATTCCTCTTTTTACTCAGTCTGTCTTTAAATAAGACGATCTTTGTGATGACATTAGAGCGTTACGTTCAGACTCATCCGTGATATTTGTTGACCTACATCAACAACAGTGCCTGTTTGTTTACATAAGAGTGTTGACAATATGATGCCTGAGTAAACAGCATTAACACAACCGTTATAAGACTGAGCGACGCGTTTTAAGTGTGTTTTCACGATGCTAAAACTATTTTAGAGACACGTTTTAATGTCTTCTGTTCGCGCTGCTTCCGACTTCTTCACCAAGAAACCAAACCTCTCCCAGACCGCCGCTCCAGCCCGGTACAAGTACTGAAACGCGACCCGGTACGTTGTGTTGTTCTGCTGTAATATACAGTTATATAAACCACCGTTACATCGTCACACATCCTCAGAATAATAAATAAAAGTTACATTAATTGATGAATCGATTTGCCTTTTAAATGGAAGTCTTTGAACGTCTGGTTTTGTGTATTTAGTTTATCTTTAAGACCCTTTCTTACTTATTTTTTTGTGCAATAACTTGATCCACCACTTAAGTGCAATAATTTAATTTAATTTAACTGCTAATTTCTACTTAATGTCACTTATCGACTGTTTAACAACACAATGCCACTTATATATTTATCCTCTACACATTTATTTTATCTTTTATCTTCTGTTTTATTCTTATCTCTACTTTCTATTAGCAAAGCTAAGAGTTTATTGTTTATACTGTTTTATCTTGTACTGTATTTTTTTTATACCTCTTTATTTTTCTACACTGTTTTTTCGTAAGCTGCTGGAAATTCACTTTCCTTGCGGGAGTCACCCCAAAAGGATCGATAAAGAGAAGTCTAAGTCTATAAGAAGCACTGTTTTGTATTTATCCACAATACCTGGATCAGATTAACTAACTGGAGTCTAACAAGCGGTCGGTTGGTGGCAGCAGTGCGCCTCGCAGTCCGGTCTGCCGCAGTTAATTAATCCCACGAAGCGGAAATTTCTCGCGTTTTGATTGGTCCGGCTGTAAATTCGTCTCAGACATGGCCGAAACAACCGGAGAGGGAGCGCCAGGAGGAGCGTTTTTCCACAAAGAGAGGATCAAATACAGCCCGGAGGAGGAGGCCAGGCTGGAGAGGCAGCACTTCTGGAGGATAATCGATGCTTTTAGGTTTTACAGGTATAATATCGATGTTTAAATGACGTAAACGAGCCGGGCAACGTCGGATTGTGACAATAGAGAAGGTAACAGCTCGCAGGGAAAACACGGTAGCTGAGATGGATTCTCTTTATTTATATATTTAAAAGTGTTTCCTCATGGGCAACTCAGTTTATATTTGAACAGCCTTCATTTGCCAATCATCTGACTCATGTCTTGGCTCCACGTCTACTGCATGACACACCCTTCCTCCCAGTCCCCCTTTAACCCTCCCCACAAGTCAGAACAGACTTAAAACATAATATATATATATAGTAATATATACTATATAATAATCTGATGTAGCAGTCTCACTTGAAGACAATAAAGAGTAAATAACACAGGAAGCAGAGTGTTAGGACCCACAGATTGCTCCTCAGGTGAGTTGTCGGCATGTGATGTCCCTTGTCCCTTTTGGAGACACCTGACATGAACCTGTGCTCTGACCTTGTGTCTCTTCTCGTCAGGGTCCATGTCGAGGAGCAGGTCAAGCGGGCCGAGCGGCAGTTTCGGAGCCTGCCTCAGCACCACCAGGATCTGCTGCCAGATGTTCTGTCCAACCTGGCCCGGATCAGCCAGTGTGCGGACCACAACCAGGAGTTGCTGCAGGCCATCATTCACAACAGCCTCCACATGTTTGAGAACATCGAGTACGGCGAGAGGGTAAGGCTTGACGTAACAGCAGGTAGTCCACTGTACATGTACAGCAGGGGTCTCCAATGCAGGTAGCCTGTGAGGTTCTCACTGGGCACGTTCTGTGATCTTAATTAGTGCAATTAATTCAAAATCGCAATATACAAATTGCAAAAGCTGGAATTGTTTTGAAAAAGGTAAAATATGTGACAAAACAGCTTTATAATGAAGTGCTGTGTTTCTGTAGATGTCCTAAGCTACAAAACATGTTCATTTGACACAGAACCCCCCAAAAAAACCTCATTATCATAACTTTAATAGTTTTTAAAATGAGTGAAAATTAAACTTCTGCTGCCAAAATGACCCCACACTAATCTTGAATCATACCACAATTGCAAAACTTGTCAGGACAATCACAACATGCTGATCTGCAAGGGACCACGCAAGCAGTACTTCACATCACAACTAACCCCCCTCCTCAGATGAACTGTTTCTGGCTCTGCTCATTTAAGTTAAACATCATTACAGTGTCTCTCCTCTGCAATATACATTAAAAAACTAAACCCTCATGTTATTTCTCCTAACCCCCTTTTTCCTCTGCCTTTGTTCTTTGGGTTTAAGAAGTGGCTGCACTCTCCAGTCACTCATTAGTTTGGTACATATGGTTTTGGTTAAAGGCAATTAACTTTTGTTCAACTAAATTTAGTACTTGCACATATCGACTGAATCTCAAATGCAGAAACTCTGGGAGTCAGGGTCAGTGCACTTTGGCCCTGACCCTGACTCCTTACAACTGATCCGGTAAACTAACCCTGCAGTGAGTTGCCCCCTCACTGTAAACCCCTCTGCATTATAGTTAGTAGCTTCAGTGTTGTTAAATATGGTGAAAATAAGTTGACTTTGTTGAGAGTTTCGACCCACTGCGGCTGAAACACAAACGTGGTCGTGAGTGAGACTTTCTTTACGTGTAGGTGTGCTGAAACTACAACAATAAAGCCTCGGATGGATCCACCCCAGCGCCATATATATATATAATGTTGTCACACTTTTTTCCTCCCTCTTGGAGAGAGGCGGAGAGTTTTGCAGGCGTGCTAACCCAGCTAGCCGCGGGATGCTAAAGGCGCTTGTTGTTTTCATTTGCAGAACAAAAAAAAAAAAAAACATTAAA